CACGGTCAGCACGGCTCCGCGTCTCGGCTGGGACGTGGGGTCGGGGTCGGCCTCGGGCACGAACGGCTTGTAGCCCGGAAGAAGCTCCCTGGGGGCCAACCGCCACGTCTGCGAGGACGGAATGGCGCCGAACTTCTTGAAGCCGACGATAATGTCGTCGGCCCAACCCCGGAGCCTCTGAACCACCATGGCCTCGTCGGCGTCGACCTCGCAAATCTGGCCTTCGAAGTCCAGGTCATACCGGCCCGCCTTCTCGGAGAGGATGGCCCTAAAATCCTCGAGGGAGAACACCCCAACATCAAGCCGCTGGAACAACCAATAGAGGTTGAACGCCGCCGAGATATCCATACTCTCCCTCATCTCCTCAAAGTATTGGGCCTGGACCTCGGCGAAGGTCGCCGGAGGAGGAAGAGCGATGGGCTCGCCATCTATCTGCTTGGCGGCCTCCTTCAGAAGGCAGACCTGGGAGGTCAACCTTTTGCCGTAGTCCGCCAGCTCAGAGACCTGCTCCTCGTGCTTCTTCTTCAGCGCGGTGACCTCGGCGGCGTGCAGCTCGGCGAGATGGGCCAGGTCGGCCTTATGCTTCTCTTCCAGCCCATGGACCTCATCAGCCCGGCGCTTCTCGCTCTCGGACAGCTCGACGGCCCGCCTCATCTCCATCTCCTCCATCTTCTCAGCCCATGCCGCCCTCTCACGGGCTAGGTCTTCGGCAGCCTTGGCGGCCGCCCTATCCGCCACGACGGCAGCCCCTCGCTGGAGGACGAGCTTATTCTCCAGGGTCGAGATCCTCCGGTTCTCATCCTTCAGTTCGTTAATCCGACCCTTGGAGGTTGTCAGGTCCTCCTCTGCCTTGTCGCGGGCGGCGACTTCCCTCTGCATCGCCACGGCGGCGTGGACAGTTCGACCATGGCCCGACCCATAGACGCCATCGAGTGGTGTATGATCTGCGTTGGGGAAAGCATAGTCACCGCCATCTCGGCAGTCGGGGTCCAAGAAGTCATCACGGCACGCGCCGCGGACAACACCTCCCCTGGCAGACAGTAGGGGTTGGGTAGGTCGAACGGGATCGCCGACGCCGAGTCGACGAACCATTGGTCGGGGAACCGTTCGAGACTCTTGGAGAGGCTGGCCTTGCGGCTCGGGTTCACCGGAATGTAGGTGGAGGACCCGGCATGGTGCACGAAGGCCGACGACTCACCCGCCAGGGCGGCCCCCTCCACCACGGCTGCTTTCTTCTTTGGAGGCGGGGGTGCCTCGTTCCTCACCTCAGTGTCCCCCTCTTCCTCCTCCGGCTCCTCGCTTCCTCTGTCGCGGGGCGGCGTTTTGGTTGGCGGCACCTCGGCCTCGACCGGCGCCGATCAGCAGGTAGTTTCGGTGGGGCGGAGGTCGAGGTCCCTACCGAGCTGGACCCCAAGGCCTTCTTCTTACCCTGCCTCGAGGTCAGAAAATCCATGCGACTCGCCCTCTTTCTTCCCTTCAATGGATTGGGGTTGGCGCGCACTTGGAGGCCTCTTTGACCGAGCTAAACCCACACTTGCGAAGGAGAGGGTAGTACACTGTCCAACGAGAGCGGAAGACAAGGGTGAGCACAAGTGTAAAAGTGCGTTTACATGCAAGCACGAGATAAGTAAGGGTAAAATACCGGGCTCGAGACTTGCTGTTGTATTTGGGACAAAGGCCGTGTTGAACCAAGCTTTCCTTCGAGATGAGGTCCTTATATTGTCGCTTCCCTTCAGCTAGACCCAACAAGGTTTCAACCCTCGCGACCAGCTCGTCACTTGGCTCAACGCGAGGATTGTGGATTGAAACCCAAACAAACCTATTAGCAGGGAAAGACGATAAATCAGAAAAGCGAAAGCGAAATAGTTAAATGACTCACAAGGGCCGGAGATGAATTCAGTGGACGGGTGCCGAGCTGCGCCGGGCGTCCCCCATTCGCCGCCGACCCAGAACCACTCCGGCATATAGCCGTGCAGAGACTCTGGGACCCTGTGAATTAATGACTTGTCCACGCCCGGGGCAACGGAGTTATAATAATTGTCGGTCTCGCCGGACTTCTTGAAAACAAATAGGGAGCCCACATCGGCACTAGTCGGGTCTGACCACCCTTGCTGACGGAACAGGACAAGAAGGCCGACGAGCCGAGCGAAAACCGTCGGAACGAGCTGACTGATGCCGATGCCGAGGTCGCAAAGGATATCATTCAAGGCCTCTGGCAGCAGAAATCTGAGACCGAACAAGATGCTCGCCCGATAAACGCCGATACAACCAGGCGGAGGGCAGTGGATGCGCTCACCCGCGTAGGGAGCAAAGATCCTCACCCCGGCGCCGAAACAAGCCTTGACCCTCAGTTTGGCCAAATCGACGTCAGTCAACACCGACGGGGTTGTCCAGGCGGTCGCAGAGGCAGTGGATGGCCACACCCGCGGAGGGCGGCAACAACATCCAAAAGGAGCCGTAGTGGCGGCCTCAACCGTGGCGTCGATCTCGCTGTCCTCGCGAGACATGGGGACCCGCTCCCATCCACAAGTGTCCCCTCGAAGCGTCTCTTCGACCAATTCGGCATCGACGTCAATTCGACGAGAGAGGCGGAGCTGGCCTCCTTCTCGGATTCCTCGGCGTCAGATTGACCAGACCCGAGGTCGATTATCTCGATCGTGGCAAAGTCCGAGGATCCCCCACAGCGCGAGCCCGTCGCCACTGCCTCTGGCGTCACACGGATAGCGGAAATCGGAGTTACTATGAGCGGTTGCACCGCACCGGTCGTCGGGGGGGAGTAACTCCCCGGTCTCCTCCGCCGTGAAGCCGCCATCTCCGGCGGGGAGGTTTGTCGCATGTTCAGAAAGACTCGACATAATCGAAAGAAAACAAAGGAAAAGATCTCAGATAAGCGAAATTACCGGTGTGAAGATCGCCGAGAAGTCGCAAGAATCTCAAAAATCGCTCTGAAATCCTGCTCGGGAATTTGGCTGCTCGGAGATTCAGTTGCTCGAAAATCGCAAAAGTAAGAAACTTCCCAAGGAAGACGACGGTGGATTTATATAAAAGCCGTCGGCCAACCCCCGCGTGACACGTGGCGCAGCGTTTGAAATTCAAAAATTATGACATGATCCGACGGTAGGCAGGGAAACGATCCAACGGTTCGTAAACGACCGCGTGGGTGCCACGCGCTCTAAAAGTCGCCGCTTCGCTGAAGCGACACACCGCTTGACGCGGACGAATCAACGAATGACACGTGTAAAGGTTCTGAACCGACGCGACTTTTCATGATCGACAGGAAGCGTATGGGTCACGACGCATTAAATAGCCTGTCGTTTCGGGTCTAGGAAGGACATGCGAGGTGACAAGGAACAATTTCACAAAAGTATGAGTTACGCGCCGACCTCGGATGTACTCCAGGAGAGCGACCTCACAGAGGATGCCGAGGGCACCCTCTCCGAGCTCGGGGGCCTGCATGTTGAGACCCGAGTTCGCCCCCAAAGAAAACCGGACAAGACAACCTCGAGAGGTGGACCGGGACCCAGTCTAGCACGTAGGTGCCGAACTGGACTCCGAGACTTATTAACCCTGACACCCCCACGAGTCCGTTCGTTAGTCCGGCATTTGCGACAGTTAAGTTCCGGTGCTGGCCTGATAAGTGACGATCTGGAGGAATGCTCCCCGAGACCAGGGGAGCAAAAAGGAAACAGGGGCTGACCTGAGGTCTCAGAACGGATCTCCAACGAGGAATGTCGGTCTCGATAACAGTATGATAATGCCACTTGGAGAGTAATCATTGGTGATTGGACGGGGCATCCTAGCCTGTTGACCTACCCCCACTAGCCAAGACATAAAGCCTGCCAGCATTAAATGATCCCCATGTGTGCATTAAATGCCTGCCAGGCAATGATGAGGAAAACCTCAAATCGCATTGAATTCTGTCAAGGAGGCGCCAGACTGCTCTGCAAGAACACTGTACGACAAGACTGGTGAACAGTACCTGAACAGTGTCACATTTAAAGCCACTATAAATAGCAGCCCACTTCATCTAATTTGGGTTGTCGAATCCCAACTATCAATACTCTCTCTACATTTTCTCTCTCTAGACTCGTGTAAAAATATTTTGTAAGAATTTGTAAGGATTTTGCAAGTGCCGACCTCGTACGAGAGGCCGACCTCACGATTCATTAATAAAACCGTAATTAAACCGCATTTCTTTGTCTTTTTCTCATTACCCTTTTATTATTCATCTTTTTAACCGTTGACCGGAAACGTCCGTCAACACACGTAAAACTCCCCCACACTTAAAACTAGAGAATGTCCCCATTGTCAATCCTAAGTGCAAGAGAGTAAGACCACGCAATTAACTGACTCAAGCATAAAATAAACTATACAAAAATAAAAGAGAGAGAGAAACATGAAACGTACAAAGCCCGGTGCTGGCGGTGGATGATGGCTGCTACCCGTACTCCTCTGGGTATCCCACTGGCTGAACCGAGTGTCCCAAGTGCTCAACTGCTGGTACTGCTGGTCTGCCCAGGTGTCCCATCGGCTGTCATAGGTTGTCCAGTGCGCCTCATTACCCTAAACAAACTCGTTCCACCTCCTGGTCTGCTCCGTCCAACGTGCATCGTTGGACTCCACGAACGACGTCCAACGCGCGTCGTTCTGCTGAGTGAAGGTCGTCCAACGGGCCTCATTCCAAGCCTCATACTCGGAGAACCAAACCAGAGCAGCTGACTGGTAAGACGCACCCGTGTGCGCTTTTATCAATGGAGGAGGCTGAAAGGTCTCGTGGGTGGGATGTCTGTCGGCGTCGAGCTCGTCCTCGTCCTCATCATTAGGGTTCTCACTGGCTGGACCACCTGACATACCGGCTTCCGGTTGGGACTCGTCTTTTGGAAACGATATACCTATTTTCTCACAATAGGCCTTGTAGCTGGCCCGCTTAGTGACGGGCTTCGGGGTGTGTGGGTTGATCAGGTAGCCGGCATGCCAGAGGTCCTTCTGTGAAATCGGTTTGGCACGAATTGGGGGTTCGTCGGTCTCAACCCCAAAGTACTGTGCTAGCTTGGACACCACATGGCCAAAGTTCAGACCACGCCTTGTTTCGTTGTGTATGTCAAACAGGGTGTCCTTCAGGTATTGTAGCATAGTCACCGGCTTGTCGTGAGAAACCGACCACAAGATGAACACCTGCTGCTTGCTCACCTTGTTTGATTCCTTCTTGTCGAAGATCATCTGTGATATGTACTTGTGGATCACCACATGCGCCAAGTCGCTGATTAGGCCCGAAGACGACCCCGATTTCTTATATGTCTCGCAAGGGGAGATGACTGCCCAACGTGGATCAACTTTGAATCCCATGGGGCTGTGGCGTGACTTGATGGAGGGATCGAAGTTGTAGATGTCGCGCAACACCTTGTCGGTGATTTTATATTCCGTGCCCTTAAGTCGAGCCGTGAGGTACTTCCTATTTTCGTGCTTGGCGACTGTGCTGAAGAACTCCAGAGTCAAATATCGGTAAGCATACGCCTCCGTATCCTCGAATTCTTGAATATCGAGCAACCTGAAGTAGCGGAGAATATCGTCACCGATTTTGAGCTCGTCGTTGAAGTATTCCCAATTGATATAGCGTGGTGCTAGAAGGGGCTTGGCGTGAAGTCGTTTGTACGCCTCGACCTCGTCCATCGACACGACTTCAAAGGGGATGCCGTGTTGTTTTGATAAGGAGAATGCCGGGGCAGCACGGTCGGGGTTGGCACTCGTGGAGGCTGCCGCTTTCCCCTTTGAAGCTGCAGTGGCCTTCTTCTTCGCATTAACTCCGCGTTTGACCATGATTTTCGATTTGGGTATTTTATCGAACACGTGGCGTGTGGGGTTAGGACTTAAGAACGAGTGAACAATTGGAGCGGGATCAAACTCGGAGTAGGCCTCCTCTTACCACCACAATCAACCAATTTCAGTCTAGAGAAGATTAACGGTACCTTTGAGCGAAATTCTGTCGTAGACAAGCGATTTCTTCACGAGCTAGGGTTGGTTGGGAATTCCTGAAATGAACAGTGGCAGCCGAAGGTGATGATTGGTGATGCCGGAATAGCTCGTGGTCGGAGGTCGCCGCCGTGGGTGAGTCGCCGGAGAAGGTAGGTCGGTTGGTTGGTTGGGATTGGTACGGTTTACTAGCTAGGGTTCGGTGAAGTGGTCTTCGCTTCGACTGCAAGAGAAGGAGACTGAGGGTGTGTGGTCGGCGGTCGGCGTCGGAGATGAGTTGGTCGGAAGTGGTGGCCAGAGGTGAGTCGTCGGAGGGTTACTTGAGATGACGGTCGAAAGTGAAAGATTGAAGGCGTCGGTGTGTTTGAGAGATGAGAGGATGATTTGTGTTGTGCACTTGCGAAAAGACCTTAGCAGCGCTAAGGTGCGTTACCGCCGCTAGCCCGCCTTAGCTATTCGGCTCAGTAATTGCCTTAGCGGCGCTAAGGCTTCTTAGCGCCGCTAGTACCTACGAAATATTTTTTTTTTTTTTATGTAACAAAAATATAACTAAATGTATATAAATATACAAAAAGTACAACAATGCTCGGTTTTAAGCCGGGAGCTCGGCACACTTCTGAGTCAAGGATACAGTGGTTCGTAGAGACTGATGGTCTCGACATGTTGCTTCCCGAATTCTCCTTCAAAGTATGACTTCACTCGCTGTCCCTTGACCACGAACAAGTCACCATTCGCTGGACTTCGGAGTCGAACAGCTCCGAGAGTCAACACCTCATCAACAACATACGGGCCACTCCACCTGGACATGAGTTTTCCCGAAAATAGACGTAGTCGGGAATTGAATAGGAGGACTTTCATACCGGGAATAAGGTTCTTTCGGACAATGGTCGAGTCGTGAAGCTTTTTGACCTTGTCCTTGTAGATTTTGGAGTTCTCGTACGCTTCGTTCCTCAACTCTTCAAGTTCTGACAGTTGCCACATCCGCTCACGTCCGGCTGCATCAAGATCAAGATTCATCCGTTTTATCGCCCAAACAGCCTTGTGCTCGATCTCGACCGGATGGTGGCATGCCTTTCCGTAGACGAGCCGGAATGGGCTCATCCCCAAAACTCCTTTGTAAGTTGTGCGTTGGGCCCATAGTGCATCATCAAGACGACTGGACCAATCCTTCCTGGACGAGTTTACCGTGTTTTCAAGAATGGTCTTGATCTGCTTGTTGCTCGTTTCTGCCTGGCCCGAAGTTTGCGGATGGTATGGGGTGGCGACCTTGTGTGAAATGTCGTATTTCTTCATTAGCTTCTCAAATATCCGGTTGCAAAAATGTTTGCCACCGTCACTCACAATAGCTCGTGGAAATCAAAACCTGCTTAACACATGACTTTGCAAAAACTTGATCACCACTTTAGCATCACATGTCCTTGTGGGGATAGCCTCAACCCACTTGGACACGTAATCTACGGCAAGAAGAATATACTCAAAGCCAAATGATTTGGGAAACGGGCCCATAAAATCAATGCCCCACACATAAAAAATATCCACCTGACCATTATTTACAAGAGGCATCTCGTTTCTTGGGCCAATATTCCCAATTCTTTGACAACGGTCACAAGATTTGCAAGAAATATAAGCATCTTTAAAAAGGGTCGGCCAGAATAAACCTGATTGGAGGACCTTAAGGGCGGTCTTCCGACCTCTAAAATGTCCCCCACACTGAAGCTCGTGGCAAAAAGCAAGGACATCCGGTTGCTCATCTTCAGGCACACACCTCCGAAGGATCTCATCCTTTCCCACCTTGAAAAGAAATGGGTCGTCTCAAAAGTAACTCCTGCACATCAACACAAAACGCTTCCTCTCTTTGAAAGAGAGGTTAGACAACAGGACTCCATCCGATAAATAATTGACAATATCTGCATACCAAGGAACACTAACCACTTCACTCACATGCTCATATGGAAAACTATCCTTTATATCAACATGCTCATGCAAAGTAAGTGAATGATCAGTAGGGACAATGCGAGAACGATGATCAGCAACCACATTTTCACAACCCTTCTTATCCCGAATTTCTACATCAAACTCTTGCAAGAGTAAAATCCATCGAATGAGCCTAGGTTTCTATTGAGTCTTACTCAAAAGATACCTCAATGCAGCATGGTCAGAATGAACAATCACTTTAGACCCTAGAATGTAACATCTAAACTTTTCAAGAGAAAAAATTACTGCCAAAAGCTCTTTCTCGGTGGTAGTGTAGTTCAACTGGGCACCGTTTAAGGTCAAACTAGCGTAATAAATTACACGAAGTAACTTATCAACTCGTTGGCCCAAGACGGCTCCAACAGCAAGGTTCGAAGCATCACACATAATCTCAAAAGGCAAGGACCAATCAGGAGCAATAACAACGGGTGCAGTCACTAGCTTATTTTTCAATTTATCAAAGGCATCTACACATGCATCATCAAACACAAAAGGCACATCATTAGCGAGCAAGTTACACAAAGGCTGGCTTATTTTTGAAAAATCTTTAATAAATCTCCTATAGAAAACCAACATGACCCAAAAAACTTCTAACTCCTTTCACATTCACAGGAGGGGGGAGTTTTTCAATAACATCAATATTTGCCTTATCAACCTCAATACCACGATTAGACACCACATGGCCTAACACAACTCCACTAGTCACCATAAAATGACTCTTCTCCCAACTCAAGGTCAAATTAGATTCAATACATCTTTCAAGCACACGAGATAAATTATGGAGACAATAAAAAAATGGAGTACCAAAAATAGAGAAGTCATCCATAAATACCTGTAGGCAATCCTCAAGCATATCGAAGAAAATGGAGAACATGCACCTTGGAAGGTCCCGGGTGCATTGAATAGGCCGAATGGCATCCGTCTGAAAGCGAATGTGGCGAATGGGCACGTGAAGGTTGTCTTCGGTTGGTCCTCGGGTGCTATGGCTACTTGGTAGTAGCCGGATACTCCATCTAAGAAGCAGTAGAACTGATGGCCCGAGAGACGGTCAATGATCTGATCGATGAAGGGTAACAGGAAGTGATCCTTCTTTGTCACGGCATTGAGGCGCCGATAGTCTATACACATTCTGCACCCGATAGTGATTCGGGTGGGGACCATTTCCTTCGTCTCATTCTCTATCACCGTGATACCCCCTTTCTTCAGCACCACATGGATCGGGCTGACCCACTCGCTGTCTGCCACTGGATAAATGAGCCCTTCTGAGTAGAGCTTCAGCACCTCCTTCTTTACCACCTCCATCATGTTCGGGTTGAGCTGCCGCTGGCTGTCCCGAAATGGTTTGGCACCCTCTTCCAAAATGATCCGGTGCATGCATGTGGAAGGGCTGATGCCTTTTATGTCCCCGAGGCTCCACCCAATGGCCTTCTGATTCCTCTTCAACACACCAATTAGCTCTTGTTCCTCATCTCGATTGAGCTCGACAAAGATAATGACCGGCTTTTGCTTCTCATCGTCAAGGAATACATATTTGAGGTGACGAGGTAATTCCTTGAGTTCTAATGTGAGTGGGGTTCGTACGTGGGGCTCCTCGGCTGCTTCGAAGAGCTCGATGGTTGGCTCCTCATTGTCAAGGTCCGGCATGGATCTCTCTTCTAAGTCTCATATAGCCGTCTCCTCAACGAATGTGTCACTCACATCAACAAAGGCACACTCCTCCACAAAGTTCACCGAGGAGGAGGATATAGCTTCTCGAACAGAGATGGATACTGACTCGCCCAGGACTGTCATATTCAATGTCCCGTTCTTGACATCAACTAGGTTGTTGGTGGTGGCCATAAATGGTCTGCCGAGAAGGATTGTGTGATCCTTCCCGTTCTCCTGCACGTCCCCCACATCTAGAACTACGAAGTCCACTGGGACTATAAGTTTCCCAACACGAACAAGGATATCTTCCACTACCCCTTTGGGGTATCTAATAGAACGATCTGCGAGCTGAAGGCACATGCGGGTTGGCCTCAAGTCTCCTAGGCCGAGCCGCTGAAAAATAGAGAACGACATAAGGTTGATCCCTGCTCCAAGGTCTAGCATCCCCGAAGTTTTTTTTCCATTTTCGAGGGCTATTTGGATCACGAAGCCCCCGGGATCTCGTTCCTTCATTTGAAGATCATGCTGCATAGCACTTGCAGCTTCGTAGACCACCACTTTCTCTCCATCTCCGAATTTTCTCTTCTTGGCCACTAAGTCTTTGAAAAACTTCATGTAGGAAGGCATGTTCTTGATCACGTCTCGGAGTGGTAGGTTGACGTTGACTTTTGAGAGCATGTTGTATAGGTCCCGAAATTGCTGCTCCTGCTTCTCGTCTCGAAGTCGGCTTGGGAAAGGTATGCTTGGTTTGAAGGGGTTTGGTGACTTATGCATCTTCGAACCGTCTATCTGCTTCCTCGAATCAACTTTTGTATTCTGCTTGGGACTCTCTACTCCTTTTGGCTGGTCGGTTGGCTTAAGGTCATCAGGCTCGGGCATTTTCACGTGGTTGTCTACCTCCTTCCGGCTTCTCAAAACTGTAATCGCCTTGGCTTACTTAGGCTGGCTGGGCAACTTCCCCTTGTCTGAAATGGCCTCCATGTTCCCCACTCTCATAGCAAGCTGGCCCAACTGTGTCTCCAGGCGTTTGATGGATGCATCGATGTTCAAGCCTCTTTGCTCACTGTTGGCCATAAACTGGAGAATTTGTCTAGTTTGTTGTCTTGATTATATGAACTGGAGCCGGCTCCTTGTGCTTGCATTCCACCCATCTGGCCCTTTTGCTGCAGTTGAGGATAGTTTGCTCTCATCTGCTGTTGGGGAATGAAGTTGGGTCGGGGTTGTTGCTGCATGAAGTTCTGTCGAGGAGGCTGCTGGGTGTTGTTGTTGTTAGACCACTAGAGATTTGGGTGATTTCTCCACCCCGGGTTGTATGTGTTTGAGTATGAGTCGTTGACAGGCCGGTTCTGGTAGCCTTGAAGAGCATTGACATCTTCATATTGTTCACCAAAATCCTGATAAAATGCCGAGGGGCACACCTCAGATCTGTGGCCTTGGACTCCACAAGCACCACATGCTTCAACAGCCATAGTCTGCATTGGTTGGCCTCCTCTTGCATTCAGTAGGCGCATCTGCTCTGTGAGCTCGGCTATCTGATGGGCCATCATGTCTCGCCCAGAAGATACTTCTTGGACCCCGGCCCTCTTTCCTCGACTGCTCTTTTGAGATGAGTTAGAACTCATCGCCTCAAATATATCATTCATCTCCTCGACCGTCTTTGCCAAAATATCTCCACCGGCCGCATTGTCCACCATGTATCGGAGATTCTGGTGGAGAGAGTCATAGAAGTTGTTCATTAACAAGGCAGGTCGGAAGTTATGGTGTGGGCACTGCCTCTGGAGGTCTTTGAAGCGCTCCCACGCCTCATGAAGTGGCTCGTTCGGTTGTTGGGCAAAGGAAACGATTTGGGACCGAAACTCTTGCGTCTTCTGATGGGAGTAGTATTTCCCAATAAACTTGGTGTACACTTGCTCCCAAGTGGTGAGGGAGTCGGGAATAAGTGTCATAAACCAAGCCTGGGCCCGGTCTTTGAGTGTCTCGGGGAAACATCTCATCTTCAACTGGTCCTCGTTTAGATTGTGGAGAGAAAAAGTCTGAAGGACATTATAGAACTCCCGGATGAAATGGAGTGGGTCCTTGTTGGATAAGCCGTGGAATGAAGGTAGCTGGTTGTAGTGGATCGTTTTTAGCTTATAATTCTTGGCTGCTGGCCTCAATCGGATGCATGAAGTCACTGGCCCGATTGTTGGTTGAGCCAAATCACGAAGGAGATGACGAGGTGGGTTATTCACTTCCTCATCACCGTTGTGTGCCATGTCTCCTTGGCTATCTGAGTCTCGGTTGGCTGAGTCTGAAGATTCAGGGGCAAGATTGGCCAACAAGTCTCGTAGATCCCTCTAGATGGACACGTTGTTCAGGATGATTACACGACCACTCCTGGAACGCATAAACAAAAACAACAAAAACGTCACGGGCACCAGATAAATAAGAAAGAGGTAAAAGACAAGCAAAACAAGAAATCGCTAATCGTAATCAAGAAAATGAAACGAAAAGAAACACAAAAACAAGAAATCACGAAAACAAGAGAAACACTGAAAACAAAATGAATAGGCCCACAAAGTATGTAACACCCCGCTTATCAGAGTAACTTTTTCGCAACTTTTACTTCGAAATTACTTTAACTCTTTCGAAATCTTTTGCGACTAACTCAGGATGCTACTCAAACTCATCATCTTGAAAATCCGTTTATCTTTAAACTTTTGTCTAATACTTCTTTATACATAAATAAAACAGATTTCCTTTAAACTTGCATTTAAAATACCATAATCATATTTCTTATAATGGTAAAAACTTGAAATCTGAAATTTATTAAAATGCAAGTTCAATACTTAATGTGCATAGCGGAAATACTTGAAAACGTGGTTAATTATACAGACTGTTATAAATGTCCTCATCAAAGCTTGTCTTCATCTGAGTCCACGATCCACACCAACACTGCTCCACTCACACCTCCTCTTCGACCTGTTACCTGAAACTAAAACTCATGGGGGTGAGTAACGAATATGGATAATCATAAACCGATATCTGATCGGTAACTTAAACTTTTCTCTTCTCTTGCCGATAATTAATCGGATACGTGTGCACACTCTGATGGATATTTCTAAGGCAACTCAGGCGGCCTCCATCAGAACTTAGGATATAATCTCTGAGAACAAATTAATGCCTCCTCATCCTAAGCGTAATAATCTTAAACTTTAGGATATACTCTGAGACAACTGATGGTCTCCTCATCCCATATGACATCAATATCGTACTCAATGTGATACCCGTTCAGGGTCCCCACCTTTTTGTCTTTGAAATCATTTGAAATACGATAAGTGCTGTACTGGTACTGTATCTGCAAGTTACATCAAATATAAACAAATATACTAAGTACTATGCTCGTATACTCAATAAGATTTTTAAAATTATTAACTTATCCAAATCTTATAGAAATTCATTAAACTTGTTTTTTCTCAAGTTTATACTTAACTTCTCTTTTTACTTTTACTTAAGGTCAATTACTTAACCTTATATAAATCATGTCTTCATAAACATCAATATGGTATTATACTTAGCATGTCATAACTCAAATGTGAAAATAACTATATTTCACATTATACTTGATTGAGTATTTAAACTTAAAACATGCTTACTTTTACCAACATCATCAACATGATTTATAACTTATCTTAATTTAACTTGATCAACTACTTAATTCATCATACATCATATCTCCCAATTTTTAGATATTGGCTTATACTAAATTTTCACTTAATTAACTTGAAAGTGAAAATAATCTCAAGCCATAATCATCTTTTAATCATAACTTTTAATCTTGATATTAATATGTCATACTTAATACAATCTTTATAAAATTGTATACTCAACATATTATACCAAAACTTCATCAAATTACTCATCACTTATATGAGAATTATTCATGATCATCTCATTTTAAACTTAACTTTAACATATGTACTTTCCACATATATATAAAGTTACCATAAAAATTTCACTTTAAAATAATACTCATATATTAAGATATATTATTTCAAAGTTAAAAATATAACAAAATATTCAACTAACTTGTATGCTTGCTTTTAAAAATCTATATCTCATGCTAAACAAGTTCAATAAAGATAAAATTTAAACTGGAAGTTCTTAACTAATATATGAATTGACCATAAAATTTCCAACTCAAAATAATATCAATAGATAGGGTAATAAAACACTACAAGTCATCATTACTACACAGATTTTTCACTGGACAGCACCTTAATCAATGATTTTTATAAAATTCATTTTAACTTCAAATAATCTAAAACTTTCCAGTATTATTCTTAGCATAATGATGATCTCATATAAAAATTTTCATAATTTTTGGAATTTAATAGCTTGGTCAAAAACAACAAACATAAGCAGCTGCAACATGAACTTTAAATAATCTTACTTTATAATCTTATTTTATATACTTATATATATAAAATTTATAATTTCTAAACATGATAACATATCAAAATCACATATAAACACTTATAACTCTTAGCTATAATTGATGATCTCAAAGTTTGAATACATACCTCTTCTATTTATAAGAAAAGAAACTTGCTCCAAGTATTTCTTGAAATTGCTCGGTTTCTCTCTTAAAAACTCGATTCTTACTATTTCTTTTTCTTATAACATAAAAATCTGAATTTTTTGTGGTGTAATTCTACCACTGATGAATGCTCCTATTTATAGGAAAGTTTTAGGGGACAAATAGCACCAAGATTGAATTAAATATCATTTAAAATACTAATTTCTTCAACAAATATGCTAAATAATGTCCCACTCTTAATTTTTTAATTAGTTGACTAATATTATTAAATTTATCAGCTCAATCAATTTCATAAAATAACATAAAAATGAGTCATCATTAATATAAATATTAAGATTCTTCAAATGATGAAGATTCTACAAAATAAAAATAATTTCCACAATTTTTTTTTATTTTTCTTTTTAATTCCGAATTTTCTAATAAAATCAGAAAATAATTTTCAAACATAATATCTCTAATATATAAATCATTTACAAATGATTTAATGAGGAAAAACATGCTTAAAAATAACATAAATACTTTTATTTTTCTAATAATAGCATAAATTGTGAAAATTCACCATTAATTAAAATTATGCTATTCTTAATCTTTAAAAATCCATAATAACTAAACTTTTATGCTTAATAAAATTTAGATATCAATAATAAAATTTTCGGAATCAAAATCGGACTTAAATTTCATTTACGATTGAAAACCGAAGATTTTATTATAATCTCTTTTTTTTTTTAACGAAACGACAGAGATTTTATATAACTCAAAGCGAACCAAGTTCGAATAATACAATCCAAAACCGAAAAAGCAAACTGAAAGGACACGCCCAAAGCGGCCTAGAACCTCAACCAACTAAAAGGAAACTAAAAAAGAAAATAACAACAAAAGATCAAGAAAAAACTACAAGCACCATCCACTGCCTCAAGGCCTAGAGGTGAATAGGGAAAACGCAAAAACCGAACCAAACAACCAACCAACAAAAGGGCACAACTTCACAGCCAACAAACTAAAAAAACAGATGCATTAGGACTTCATATGTATGAAATCCAACCAGTCCTGCTGAGCGGCCTTCAATGCAACTTTAATGGGCATGATGGTATCTTGAAAGATGCTTAGGTTGCGCGATTTCCAAAGCCACCACAGGATATAGGTAGTAAGTTGAATTCGGGCCTGTGATGTCTCTGAGTTGTCAATGGAGCAAATCTCCATCCACCAGCCTCTGAAGGAAGAGTCATGGTTTGGCAATTGAGTCCAGGAGATAGGGGCCATCTTCCACAGTTGAACAGCTCTCTGACAGTGAAATAAGACA